CCTTAGCCGGTTGAGCTATAGGCGCCGAGCCATCATTTCTTTTCTTATACCCTACCCAGAGTCATCTTGGGTAGGGTATGATGGTGTCATAGCTCACAGCAACCTCAAACTCTTGGGCTTAAGCAATCCTCTTGCTTCCCAAGTAGCTTCCCAAGTAGTTGGGACTATAGGTGTGTACCACTACACCCAGCTAGTTTTTCTATTTTTAGTAGAGACAGGGTTTCCCTCTTGCTTAGGCTGGTTTTTTTTTTGTTTGTTTGTTTGTTTTGGTTTTTTTTTGAGACAGAGTCTTACTTTGTCGCCCTCGGTAGAGTGCATGCGTCACAGCTCAAGCAACCTCCAGCTCTTGGAATTAAGTGATTCTCTTGCCTCAGCCTCCCAAGTAGCTGGGACTACAGGTGCCTGCCACAACGCCAGGCTATTTTTTGTTGCAGTTTGGCCAGGGCCGGGTTTGAACATGCCACTCTCACTTTCGGTATATGGGGCTGGCGCCCTACTCCCTGAGCCACAGGCACCGCCCACTTAAGCTGGTCTTGAACTCCTGAGCTCAAGCAATCCACCCACCCTGGCCTCCCAGAGTGCTAGGATTACTGGCATAAACCACCATGCCCAGCCTATACTTCATTTCTTAACTGTGAGCCCTATACTTCATTTCTTAACTGACCTCAGTCACAATTTTTAAAGGTCTTCTAGCAATTCTATGCATTTTCTTTACAGATTCACCACTAAATAGAGGATTTTGGGCAAATGATGTTCCGTTCCTCAGTTTCTTGTTTGCATAGAGTTCACTGTAAGTGCTTTAATACTTTATCAACTCTGGCTTAACCCAAAGGTGGTCTCCACACTACCACATGAACTGGTGTGCTCCCCACCCTATGTCTTTGTGGCTGAAGTATTGCTGGATGGAAAGACATTAACAAGATGGTGAGTGATCAGATGTTTCCAAGCCTAACTCATAGATTCCAATCTTATTGACTAGTATTTGTATATTTAGTTTCTAATTATGGGATTGATATCAAAAGGTTCCACATTAAGCCTGGAATTCTTTGGCCCAGGAACCCTAGAATTCTGGGCACAAAAAAAGAGCCCACAATACCCATAAATGCATTTTCAAGAAGATGCAACATTTTTGGGTTGGAATACTTACCAGCATCTGTTCAAAGAGAACTAAAACTTGTTCATCTGAAACATCTTGCAACGACTGTGCTGTGGGATCATCCCCATATGATGCAGAAGAATTTCTATGAGCAGAATTGGGCTTTTCCTTCTCCTTCTTAATTCTCATACTGGTGAATCTCTCCAACTGAGCAAGAGAAAAAAAGTATTAGCCGTGATACACCAACGAACGACATAACAAATAGTCAACCCTTTAGCTTCTTACATATGTACATTTCCTCTGGTTCATGAAATGTTCAAGGCTCTTTTGACATGACAAGAATCAATCAGTCTTCTTTATACCTAACATAGCATACTGACTGCACTCTACTCTATATCCAAAGATAAAAGGATGGAAGTATTAAAATTTCAACCTCTCTAAAAAGAGGAATCTTTGTTCTTGATCTCCCTTGCCATTTCTAAGCCCTACAGGAGCACAGAACTGAAAACATCTCATGTGCAGAGATATAGAAATAAAATGCCCTTTGCTTCTTTCTAGCTACCCAATAACAAATGTGGCCAGGCCCCCAGGACCCCTCCCTTCAAGGAGTGAATATAACCACAGATTTTAATAGATGTAAGTCACGTAAGGTAAACAAGTAAATGCCTTAAAGCTAGGAACTAGTCTTTATTTTGTACACTCCACAGCAGTTGTGTTATGTAGAAAGCAAAAGTTCAACACATATTCTTCAAAGTCCCCTTTACAGGACATCTAATCAGGAAAGAATACAAAGTACCTCAGGGGTACATATGCCATCTCTCTGCTAAACAAATGCTAAGAAACCATTCCTCAAACGTCAAGTACAGATGTGCAAATAAAAAGCGCCACCAATAAGTTACAGCTTATCGGCTCCCCAGTTTGAAAATAACAGTAAATATCTGCAGGCACCATGGGGCTTTATGATGAGTGGCAACCAGATTACAAGTCAGCTTGGAGTTTAAAAAGCATGCCCAACTTTGGAAGTTAAAGAATGTGCCAGGGAAATGCATGCACTGAGTGAAATAGAGAAAAGTGTTAGGAAAAGGCCCTGTGATGCCTGAGAATATAACCCATATCACCATTAGAAGTTGCAGAGTGTCAAAGTTACAAGAACTGGTAAATATAACAGTGTAGGAAAAGGCTAAAACATGCACATGCCAAACAAAATGTCCTTACCTCATCTGCCATGAGCCGCTTCAGAGTCTACGAATCAGGAAAAAGGCGGGAAAAGAAAGAGAAGAGAGATCAGTGAAATGCCAAGGAGGCTCCCAAACACCAGATAGGTTGGGGAGAAAAAAGGAAGAAAAAATAAGTTGAAAGGACCTAAGTTATTTTACACAAGTGAATGATTTCTGCCAACGTATTTCTTAGTACACTCCCTTAGGTAAGGTACAGATAGTGTTTTAAGGTCAGTAACCCGTGACACCCCTTACCCTCCTAAAAAAAAAAAAAAAAAAGATAAAGAACTGAATGGATTCTGACTCTAATGACCAGTAAACTTAAGGAATGTGCTTGACTTCACTAGCAAACAGGGAAATACACATTAAAACCACAGTGATGTATCATTTTGTATTCTTAAGACAGGCAAAAACTTTCATGTCTGTCTTATAGAGCAACAGGCACTCTCACACACTGTTGGTGGTGTTAAAACTGCTAGTCTGGAAAACAGCATGGCACCATCTGGTAAAATTAAATATGCATATGCCCTACAACCAACCTGTAATTTCTATGTATCCACACTGCCGAAACATGCACATATACAGCAGAATGTGTGTAACCAGAGTGTTTGCAGTAACATTCTAACATCTAAAACAGAATAATCCAAATAGCCATCAAGACTGGAAAGTAAACTGGTATATTGGTACAATGGAAAACAATTATGCAAAGAAAGTGAATGTGAATGAACTTACAGCTATTCATAAACATAATATTGAATTACCATTTCATCTAAATCACTGAGTTAAAACAACATGTAAAATTAAACCTTATGATTTGAGATGTAAAATTATAAAGGCAATCATTACACAAATGTCAAAACAGTGGTTACCAGGGGTGGGTGGGAGAGCTGTGAGCGCTATGACTAGGAAGGGGATAAAGTAGCTCCTTGGGTGCTTACCATATTCTACTTCTTGACGTGGGTGGTGATTACATAGGTGGTTCAGTTCATAATTATTCAGTATGTTTTATGTTCTCTTCTGGATATATGTTATATATATTTCACCAGTAGGTCTGGGAAAGCAAGAATTTTTCTTTATCCTAGTTAATTTTAAACTATCTTTTTTTGTTGTTGTTATTAATGTCCTTGGAGGAGTATGGTAAATGTCTCTTGAATAACCTTCCTCAACTAGTAAAAATCTAGTTCTGTTCCTACCACAAAGCTATTTTTCTTAACCTTCCTTAAAAAAAAATCTAAATCATTATATTCATGTTCGCTATATCACACAATTCCAGTGCTAAGTGTCAATCTAAACTCTGTGCTCCAGGGAGGTCAAGCTTCTACTGGCTAAGTGCCAATATCTCACCCAAAACCTTAAGCATCTTGCTTAGTGTTCACGGAATTTACAGTGTCTTTATATGTGCTACTGAGGTGCAAAGGCAGAAGCACAGTTCCTTTTGTCACACACACAGAGGTGAAATAAACACAAAAGGATGCAGTAGGGGCAGCCACAGCTAAGGTTAAACTTATTTGCTTCCGGAGTAATTGCTTCAAAAACCTTGTCCTCCAAACTCGAAGTGTTCCCTCAGAGCTAAGCAACAACCAAACACTGCTAGGATGGATGCAATGAAGGGAACAGAACTTGGGTTTAAAGCAGTGTAGCGCACTTGAACCTATGGATAAACTTCCATGGCATACTTAAATTATGTTGATCAAGAAAAAGAGTAGGCTCGGCGTCTGTGGCTCAAGCGGCTAAGGCGCCAGGCACATACGTCTGAGCTGGCGGGTTCAAATCCAGCCCAGGCCCACCAAACAATAATGGCTGCAACCAAAAAATAAAAATAAAAAAATAGCCGGGCATTGTGATAGGCGCCTGTAGTCCCAGCTACTTGGGAGGCAGAGGCAGGAGAATTGCTTGAGCCCAGGAGGTAGAGGTTGCTGTGATGCCATGGCACTCTACCCAGGGAGACAGCTGCAGGCTCTGTCTCAAAGAAAAAAAGAAAAAAGAAAAAGAGTAAAGGCTTGGTGCCTATACTTCAGCTGCTACGGTGCCAGCCACATACACCAAAACTGGCGGGTTCAAACCCAGCCAGGGCCTGCCAGACAACATTGACAATTACAAAAAAAAAAAA